TCTGGAGTGCAGTATAACCACTACAGAGACGCTGGAGTCTTTTACTTTACTCCAACAAACAGAGCTTGTCCAAATTATTTCATCTTCAAAAACAACAACTTGTATACTAGATCCTATTCCTACAGGTTTACTTAAAGACGTTTTGCCAGAAATAACCAAGCCTTTTCTATCTATAATAAACTCTTCTCTCAGCCTCGGCTATGTTCCAAAATCTCTTAAATTAGGTGTAATTAAACCCCTAATTAAGAAACCTAGTCTTGACCCCTCTGAGTTATCAAACTATAGACCTATCTCAAATCTTCCCTTTTTTATCAAAAAGTTTAGAGAAAGCCGTTGCAAAACAATTATGTTCCCATCTGCATAGGAGTAATATACAAGAAAAATTTCAGTCTAGCTTCAGGCCTCACCATAGTACCGAAACAGCGTTAGTGAAAATTGTAAATGGTCTTTTATTATCTGCTGACAAAGGAAACATATCCTTACTGGTTTTACTCGATCTTAGTGCAGCTTTTGACACAATAGACCATTCCATTCTATTAGACAGGCTTGAAAAACTAGTAGGAGTGACAGGTAAAGCTCTTTCGTGGTTCAAATCTTACCTTAGTGATCGCTATGAGTTTGTTAATGTAAATGGTGAACCATCAGCTCTCACAAGAGTAAAGTATGGTGTTCCACAGGACAAATTTGAAGATGGACTGTGTAAAAGGCATTAAAGACTGGATGTCAAGTAACTTCCTCTTACTAAACTTGGACAAAACAGAAGTTCTTCTTCTTGGTCCAAAAGCTGCTAGGAATAATCTGCCTATGTTTACTCTTAATCTCGATAGTTTCTCAATTGCACCAGGCACATCTGTAAAAAGCCTTGGTGTCACGATCGATCCCGATCTGGCCTTCAACGAGCACATTACCAATATTACCAGAATAGCTTTCCTCCACCTGCGTAACATCGCTAAATTAAGAAATGCACTGTCGCTACAGGATGCAGAAACGTTAGTTCACACCTTTATCACGTCCAGGTTAGATTACTGTAACGCTCTGCTTTCTGGTTGTTCCAGCCAAAACCTTAACAAGATTCAGTTAGTCCAGAATGCTGCAGCCAGAGTTCTCACCAAAACCAGGAAATTTGACCACATTAGCCCAATTTTGTGTACCTTACACTGGTTGCCAGTTAAATTCTGCATTGAGTACAAAATTCTTCTACTGACGTATAAAGCTTTGAATGGCCTTGCTCCTCAGTACCTCAGTGACCTTATTTCCTATGATCAACTGACACGCCCACTTAGATCACATGGTGCGGGCTCATTATTAGTACCTAGAATAAATAAAGTTACGTCAGGGGGAAGAGCCTTTTCATACAAAGCCCCCCAGCTTTGGAATAGCCTACCAGTCTGTGTTCAGGACTCAGACACAGCCTCCATCTTTAAGTCTAGGCTAAAAACATACCTGTTTAGTCGAGCTTTTGGTTAATTAGTTTTCCTAACTATGTCCCTCTTATCCCCCCTACCCCCTTCGGTTTATTGTTATGTTAATAATTGCGATTAACAATTTAATTGTCTTTTCTTGTTCATTGTTTGCAACTATTAAAATACAAGCCTAAAGTGGCCTAGTTATGTTTACTGTGTGCACACCAGAAAAATGTCTATAAGTATCAGCACTGGTAGAAAATCCTGTTGTACCAGTGCAGCGCTGCCAGCGTCAACCACCCAGGGGTAAGTTCTTTGTTGTTGTGGCGTAACGGTGATGTGTCCTATAATGAGGCAATAGACAACAATATAAACATTTAACTGACAAATCCACTGCCTTTTCGTTCTGGCCAGACTTTGTGCAAATGAACTGAGCAGCGACCAATCAGATTGTTAATTTGTGGTGTGGTAACCGATTGTGTCACGTCCACAGCCGCACACTGAGATTTAACACTGGAACACATACAGAGTCACGTGTTATTGTTACTTTTGATTTTTTTTTTTTAAGTTTTCAAAAACATTATTAAGCTCCTTCGGGGATCAACTCTGACCCATAACTGCAGAGACTTTCTCTCTTTGAACGCTAAAGTGTTCAGCTCACTATAATGAAAATACTGCGTTCACTTGAACAGTGCAGCTACTGCAGATCTTGAAAATATAAAACTCTAAACTCCACTCTTAAACAAGCACACATGGCTCTGTACAGTACTCAAATTATTATAAAGTTCAGAACATTTTATTTTTATTGTTATTTTTAACCGTTGCAGTCCTGAAATCAGGGAGTGCTGCAGTCCCCTCAGCACCCCCACTTCCAACATCCCTGCTGGGAGCTGGTTTTAATGGTTTAGGCTGTGACCTTCATTCCACTGAAGGGAATGTTAATGTTACAGCATTCAGCGACATTTTAGACAATTATGTGCTTCCAAATTTTTACCATCAATTTTGGGACGGTCATTTCCTGTTTTAGCATGAAAATACCTTGTACCCCCCGTGTACCAAGTGGGGCTCATAAAGAAATGGTCTACTGAGGCTGGAGTGGAAGAACTTGCTGGGGATTTTACTCACTGAGTAAACATACAGTGTGTACAGTGTACAGTTAGAGATTGTGGCTCATCTTTTTCCATGCTGATCTGTTTTAGCCTCTCTCTAGAACTTTGTCAGTAATGATGAAAAGAAACTGCCTTTGAATTTACTGATATTTACTGATATACTTATTTTCTGACCACAGAGCTGCACTTGACTGAACACGTTTGGGTTGTATCTGGTCATTGGTGGTCCAATGGCTGTAAAGGGAGGCTGACCTGATCAATTTTTTGATCACGTTGTATTATTTATTTATTTATTTGTTGGTTTGTTTGTTTATGAACCTTGTTGTTATCCCATCTATCAGCAATGACTCATACTGCACTGGGGCTTGTGGTTTTGAGGGTCTGTGGAGGGTTTCCATGCGTCAGAATCAAAATACCAACCACCAACTCCACTGTGTTTGCACTGAATGTGAAAGTGTGTTCAGGGACATTTTCGAGGTTGTAACAGAAAAAGTAATGCTGTGCCTTTAACACAGTAATTGTTTTGTATGTTTGTATGTTATGTGTGATCTCACTCGCTGTGCTCTCGAAGCTAAGTTAGGTAAACAGAGCGAGTTGCAGCTATTCACCTCTTATTTCTGGCTCCGGGTAAGAAGCGTTCACAAAGGGGCAGCTCTAACCACATCCTGTCTGCTCTGTCACTGCAAGACACATGACTGGAAAATGTGCACTGGACTTATCAGATTGTATCGTCTTGCTCATACATCCACACACGTTTTAACTGCCTTGTGAAAAGTGAAATGAAATAACGTCCATGTTAAATGTCCGTTTTGACAAACAATGGAAATTTAAAAAATAAACAAAATCCGCCTGATTAATATGTTTGTATCTTATTGTGTCTACATCATGATATTTTTTAGAATTTTTGATCTTTCAAACCAACCTGAGTCATAATACAAAACCAGATGGACTCCTGCGCACATGGAAGGGTACACGGTAACACCAATGGACTGTCTCAAGTTTATGAGCCACCTCAAGCTTTCTGAGGCCCCCCCAAGACCCAGGCAGTCAGAGGCTCCATGCACAGGCCTGGTCAATAATCTAACACTGCACAACATACTTAAAGTAAAGAGCAGTTTCAGTAATGCTGGGATTGCACAGCCACAAGTGTTTCTGAATGTGCTTTAAATAACCATTCGCACAAGAAGGCGGTAAAATCATTATTTAGGGAAAACTTGCTCTTAGGACACTTTGATGAGTATAAACTATACACCTATACACCTACATTAAGGAAATAAGGTTTTCTTATATCCTTATTTCCTCAATGAGTTTTAAACCTTGTTTATCTAAAACTATTTTTAAGTTTATACGTTTCTTTCATCAGATTAAGAACAATGTGACATGGCAAGTGCAGGGGGTCATTTAGTGAGGCAATGCCCCACCACCCAATTATCATGCCCTGATAAACCACTATTTTTTATTTGCATTCATAGGGGCAAGTGGCAAAACAAAGTGAAACCAAAACTTGCATGATGCAGCACACAACACATTTAAAAGGCTATGTCGATTAACGGATAAACTTGTTGGGGAATCTGCTGTATTGTACTGAGGTTAAATTTGAAGACAGATTTTATAAGTGAACAGAGAAAAATGAATAAATGAATAGACCTTTGGTGATTTGCTGTAAATATGGCTCTATATTCTCTCCTGAATGTGACTGTGACTTATTTAGACCTTGTAAATATTTATATTACTAAATCTGCCAAATAATGTGGCACACAATACTGTATATGGAAAAACAGCCCACAACGCAACAGCAGACAAGTATAGAGTTCTTCTATGAGAGGCCCCAGTTAGTGACGCCTCTAAAGCTCCAAAGAGTGTCTGGATTATTACTCCAGTTATCAGGATTTGAGGATAAAAGCCACTCTACACAGCCCTTAGAAATGAGAATGGAACATGATTTTAACATAAATACAAAACATAAGACTTAAGAATGCAAACAATGTGTGACAAAGCTTTAGTTGAGCTATTGTGCTTGAGAAAATGTTTTTGTGCTTTTGTTGGCCTTTTGATGAAATATTCATTTTTCCACATTGTCTATGCTCATTTAGCACCTGACAGTTAAAGAAGCACAAAACCATATTTTCCACCATAAACCTTGTACGACCCACTAAAAGCTCTAATCTCCATAGATGTTATAAGGTACTAGTTCATCTCCAGGGTCCATGCAGAGTGGAATTGCCAGATGTGTAGTAGTTAAGAGATACAATTCTTTATATCACCTGTTCCTATTAGACGTGGGAAAAATCTGACACATTTGTATTTTTGCTAGATTATTGTAAAAATATTTGAGCAAGATTAAACATTTATTTATACGTGTAACATACACATTTCTGCTAAAAATTAAAATACAAATATTATTTTTGAGTATCTACCATGCGTGAACAGTTTGACCAATAGTGGGAAATTGTGTTCGTGTGACAGTGACAGTTAAGGGTGCAGGAAGTTGACAGGAGCTGTATGAGAAATGCAATAAAGAAATGGTGGGGTGTATCACAGGACACGTCACAGTGCTGAAGGTGGCAAAAGTTCAAAGAACAAAGAAGCCAAGGACAGAGACAGAGGGACGCTGCCACGCTGAGATGTTTAAAAGAACTTTGGCTTCAGTGTTTAAGCCTTGCTGAGATCTTCTGAGGCTCTAGAACAGGAGACAAGAACCAGAGAGAAAGACCTGCGTGATACTGACTCTTCTGACAGCACCATCACAGTGAGCACTTCAGAAGCGTGTCGGGTTCAGAGGAGGGAAACGGGCCATACATGAGGCGCTGACATCAAGAAGTTCAGTACAGACCAAAAAACGTAAAAAGTGAGAGAAGTCACACTGCTCTTACCTCAGCATTGGAGACATGGAGGATAAATGGATGTTGAGAGCCGTGTTTGTTCTGGCTCTCTGTCTCACCAGAAATCTCACATCAGGTTTGTTCATCTTTTTTTTCTTTGATTTTTTCTTAGTTATTTATACATTTTCATATTCTGTCACCTGCAAGTGTTTCTTAGCTTCTCAGCTTTCAGTTGTTCTGCAGAATGAATGGTTTCTCTCATCTTGAGTTGGCCGACTAACAAAGCAACCCTGAAACCCAGTGACACAATCTAATGATTCCTATTTCCTGTGACTAACATTTACACAATGTAACCTACTAGATAAGAAACAAATGATGCTGCATGTATATTAACCTGTTACTAACCCTCTATGGACTGTTAACTCTCAGGACACGGTGACAGAACTTCTCTGGATTCTAACAAAACACCACACAGCCCTGATTCTACAACAGTAAGGCTTGAAGGTAATAAACGGGACTAACGCTAGCACAGACACAATGAATGCTTTTAGGAAAGTGGCCATTATTTGCATAGTAAGCTGTTTTTGACCGAGGGATAAACATAATTTAGAGAAATAGTACTTTAGTGAAAGTATGGGTACTGAGTCAAAATCTTTTTATGTAGTGTACTATTTAATGTAGTTAATGTACTATTAAAAATATGTTAGTGAAAGCATATTTTACATATATATATATATATATATAGTTAGATAAGTCACATAAAACACAATTAGGGCTTCTGTGTAATAGAGCATCTTGGCTAGATCTAGTTGATTTACTCCCAAAAGAAAAGCTTATTTTTTTGCTGAAATTGCTTCCCCTATTTTAGTTAGACAGTCTGAAGCTATGAAATCACAAGAACAAAATGTTTATCAACACATGAAAAACACTTTAACTCTAGTTAATGTATTTATTTGCACAGGTAACTGGTGTTTATCTAAGCACAGACACTGCTCTCTGAACATAAGATCAGGTCACTGCTCTGAGTTAATTCACCTTTTCATTCTTACTTGGACATAGAAATCCAAATAACTTTGTGGATCCTCAGTCCTCTGTGATCAGACATTTGAGGGAAGGTTGTTTGTTTATTTAGGGCTTGGTGTCAAATACATTCATTAATTTGAGGATGTCATTAAATTATGTTTTACACATTTTATAGGTTTCAGGAATGAGAGCTTTGAAGTGGACAGCAGGGTCACTTTACTCTGCACCAACCCAAATATAGCATGGAGTGAGATGATTTATGTCATCTGGAAAATCAGCTCACAAGAGAAGAACTGCAGCATTGCTGTGGCCAGAAATGACTTAAATGTTGACACGTGCCAAGATGGAAAGAAGATTAATATTAGTAAAGGTGGAGACTACAGTCTGATCATCCCTCACTTTTCCATTAAAGATGAAGGAAATTACACCTGTGATGTGTCCTACCATGCGGGGGGCTATGTGGAATCAATTTATGTGTCTGCATGGGGTAAGCTCAATGTCAGTGTACAGTTTATGGAGTACATCTACAGTTATTATGACTTCATGGCTTAATTTCTTTCAAAAAACAAGCAAAATTTCCACTGTTATGCAGTGAAATGTTATGTAGGATTATAAATTAGAAGCAACTGTGGTGAATTAACATAATTTCCCATTCTGATTTTAGTTCATCCAGTCATGACTGGTAGGCTGGAAACTAAAGGTGGCCACACTTTTGCCATCTGTGAAGTTCAGAGTTTACCAGCAGCTTCCATCCACTGGGAAACTCCATGGAACTCCTCTTCACCTGATACACACTCATCCAGAGATGCTAGCAGAGTTTTCACAGTGACCAGCTGGTTACAGCTGCCTAAGAATGCCCTTCACAGAAACCTGACCTGTGTGGTCATTGCCAGCCACTCCAAGTGGCCAGAGACTCGATTAACCATCTCAACGTGCAAAGGTAGGCGTTTCAGATGATCTAACATGCTTAACAAGAAATATACAGTGGACACACCAGTGTGTGGGCGTTTTCACTTCACACTGTAAGAGGGTCAAGTGGACTGGACGTTGGCTGTGGCCACAGTGCTTTTGAGATATTTTTAAATGAGAGCACTACTTTGACAGTATCTGCCTAAATACTACAGCAAAAAAATCACGATTTGATCATTTACCTTTTGCCATTTCAAGGTTTTTCACCCTTTCATTTACAAACAAAAGCAGGTATGAATACAGCAAGTAAGATTCTAACTCTATAAACTGAACAAATTAACAAATGAACCAAAAACTACTAAATTTTTGGTTCCCAGAAATCATCAGGCCCTCTGCATGAGTCACACAACACCTTCTTGTGAACTCTGGATAATGATAACTGCAGTGAACAGTGACTATGAGAGCTAAACCTTCAGTTTGGGCCTTCAGTTTCGACCAAAACATAAGTAAAAACCCTCCTTAGCAATAAAGATAACTTCTGCTAGGATTCTAGTAGTTTGTAAGCGCTAAACTAACAATGATTTGCATGAACACTTTCTGGGAAGCTGAAGTTAGCTTCTAATTTGAATTTTCTGTTCCACCTTAAACAGTGTAGCAGTTATATTCTGGCATATTTGAGCACCAGAATGTCACTGCTGCAGCATTTAGGGTGGAATGAAAAATTAGTTGGCACCAGAATGTTGCTGCAGCATAGTTTCTAGATCAGTTCTAGATAACACATCACAGACATTTGAAGCTTCTCAAAGACATTCCATGTTTTACTTGAAGCTATTAGTAGATATTTAAGCTTGCAGCAGTTTCACAGTCACTCTTTCAGTAGTAAGCTCTGGTATAGTGCTTCTGCCACTGTTTTCCATTTCTGGCACAGCATTTACATTCTTACATTGAAGGTTAAGCGGGAAAATTCGAACAAGAAGTTGGTGAATGAGAAGCTGTCATTAGCACATTTGGGTTGCCGACCCCTACCTTAGGTGCACCAGACAGATTTTTTTCAGCAAACCTTTGGCACATTTGGGCAAGAAGTGTTTTCCTGCATCCACCAAACCGAGATTTGTCTGTTAACGTATGAAGTGTGATTCATCACTCCAGAGAATGTGTTTCTACTACTCCAGAGTGCACTGAGCTGATGCTAGGCATCATGCTTGATGATTTTAGGCTTCTGTGTGGCTGCTCGGATATGGAAATCCAATCCATGAAGCTTCTGATGGACAATTACAACACATGATTTGTCACATGTAATGCTCCTCAGAAATCTGATGAACTGGCTTATTGGGAAGTTGCCATCCTATGACAGTGCTGGGCAGTAGTGGATCTACAAAGGTTTACCAGGGGTGGCCAAGGGGTAGAGGGAGTTTTGGGAGGGTGGCATGTTCACACAGCACCCAAGTCTGTCTAGATTTATACAGTGAACTATCCATACAACTTTCACTTTCAACTTTGTTTTGGCCTTGGAAATGGGTAGAAAACAACATACTGTACTCTGTCGCAGTCTTATTTTTACACGTCCCCTGGGCACATCTTTTGACCACAACTGGAGCTTTAAGTTCAAAACGCATGACACACCGGTGCTGCTTAAGGACTTGCATAATAATAAAATAATATCTGTTATGTCTTCTTCTTTCCAGACACTGTTGAATGTCCTTCTGTTCTTCTGGGTGTTTGGGCCACCTGGATCATCATAAAGCTTCTGACTGGCCTGTACATCATGCACAAAACTCTCAGACAGTTTAGGTAGGATACTTGAGGAGTATGGTAATGAACTGTTGTTCTAGAAATGTTAGGTTTACTATAGAACATGTATAATGAACATGTCAGTACACATGAAGATCTTAATAGGCTGTTGACAGGCTTAAGGCTGATCGCTTGCCATAGTTGGATCCAATGGCATCCAAATAGAGCAAGTGCAGGATTTTAAATCCTTGGGTCACTGATTCAGGAGTAGAAAGTGGCATCTTCGAAGGAGACACATGCTGAAATTGGACAGGCTGCCACAGCATTTGCCTTGCTCAAATGGTGCCGATAGAAGAAGAATAACATCTCTACGATGACCAAGACCTACCTACCTTTTGAACGCTGATCCTACCAGTCCTTCTCTATGGATCAGAAACTTGGACCCTACTCAAGATGGATTTGGAAAAACTTTCAAATGCGAGGCCTGAGATCTCTTCCTATCCATGAGATCTCCTTTTGTGATCACATCAAGAACGACACCATCTGAGCCAGATGTCAACAAAAACAAACCATCGAGGAACAGATACAACAGTGTAGGCTGAGATGGTTTGGACATGTGTGCCGAATGGGAGTAAACCATAGGCAGCGACCTAACCAATGGAGAATTCAACGCACTGTGCCTAAGAAAACGTGGACCAGGCAAATCAAGATAGACCTAAAGAACTAACAACTTGATCTCAACCAAGCAAGAACATTAATTATGGGTTGTAAAAAATGAAGAAATATTGCCAATCAAGTTCGACATCCTGTGGCACCCACAGCAGCGTACAGGTTATGAGATCACCCTCATCCAGACACTAGCTAGAGACTGATGATGATGATGATGATGACTGTAACTGTGTTGTACATATTTGCTTAGTTAAATACTTCTGCAAAACAATGATTAATAGGACATAACCACTGACACAGCTCAGTCACAACTAAGCAAACATCATACGTGCACACAACAATCTATATTTTATTGTATTTATATAATAGAAAATATAATATATTAATATAAGACTAAGTTCCCTTTGTTATCTTTGTTTGTATAAATGGTATGGTTTTCCATATCCAAATGTTCTATGTCACAGTTCCTCTGGTTGTGTCCTTTCTCTGTCCCAGTTTTATCTTCTTTGTTTCTCCCTGGCTCTGTCCCCTCGTTACTATGTCCACCTGAGTTTGTAACCCTGCCCTGTAATCGCTGTCCCCTGCTGTGTCACATCAGTTTTCTGTGTATATATACCCTTTGCTTACTATTGTTCTCCACCGTGTGTTGTTCTGCGTCTCATTTTCTCTTGTTTTGTCTTGTTCTGTTGTGTGTTGCTTAGTCAGTCTCCAGTTCCTTCGTTGCACTCTGTTAGTTTCTTAGTTAGTCCGTACTATTTTCTTTGATTTTGCTTACTTTTTGTTTGATTTTGTATAGATCACCTGTACTTTCAGTGTCTACCTGTTTTGTGGCCCCCACTGACAAAAACCCTGAATAAAAAGGCTTTGCAAACACACTCAATCTCACCTACCTCCATGTTACTTCAAACCTGATTGTGGAATTAACATCAGTGTTAGGTTTCTACTTTGTTTAATATTATTATATTATATACTACTATTAAAAATAATAAAAAAAAACCTAAACATACTGAAAAGCAAATTGGAGTACAGACAAGGTCAACATTAGTACAGTTACTGAGCCTCATCACCTCCTTATTTCATCAGGGTCTGTAATTTATGTTGTTATTTATGTTTGTTGATTGGATGCTGCACATCCAATATTTCAGCACCAACTGAAGACAAGAAAACACAGGTAAAACACATTACGTTATTACTTATTCAATGATTAATTTTAATTAACTAGTTTCATTTATAAGATTTCCATGTGACAAATTCATAACTATTTTTATTCAGCCTCAGGAAAATGAAGAAGTGGAATCCATGAAAGTGTGAACTCCATCTGCAGCTCTTCTGAAGCACAAGCACACACACAAACACACAGTTTGGTGAAATTATATTGCGAAGATGCTAATAAATCATAGTAAAGCCTCACTCATTATTGCACGCCTACTCTGTGGATAAAAGTATGGATGAGCGAGAGCTAATGCTGCTGGAAGCAAAGGTTAATGTAACAACAAGCATCCTCTCAAGAAAAAAACTACTGATGAGAAAGAAGTAGGAACAGAAGACTGAGTAGGGCTGGGCCTGCCCAGACTGGTCACAGGCCTACTCAATCAAATGGGGAAAGAATATTTATGAAACCATTTTTTAAGATAATGAAATTGATTTGCACTTTGTGAGTGCTGTCATTGTACTATGACCAGTCAAATCATTATGCTCTCCACTAAGCTCCGCCTTCTCTTCCTCAAACCTCTAATCACTGCTTAGATACATTGCTATTAGGGTTGGAAATTAGCACCTACCAAATGCATGGTATTTTGTATTTTGTGGCGAGTGAATTTGTTCTACCTACTTGCCACAGTGGCTGATATACTAGCAGATAATGTAATTGTAACAGAGCAATAACATCCCAATAATGCAGACTAAATTGCGAGTCTGCTTATTTCACTCTCACACATTAACGAGGAGACACTGGGGGTTACTGAGGCAACTTGAGTATAGAACACTAACTACTGTCCAATTTAATTCCAACATTGTAGCAAAAAACAAAAGCAATGTAGCATTACAGCTCTTGGGTTAAGAGGTCTGTAGAGGAAACTTCCCAGGAGGAGACACAAGTCAAAGAGGTGAAAGTCAAAAAACATTTTTAATGAGAAGTAGAGAAAAGCTGACAGTGGAGAGTCCTCTGATTGGTTAGTTTACGAAAAGAAAGGCAATGAGCCTCATTCCCCAAAGTTTTTTCCTACCTTTGTTCTTGAGAAAGATCCTAAGGTCCTAAGAAAAAGTCTACGTCAGATCCATGATGTGTTCTTATACTGCAGAGATGTTTGCACCTTTGTGTTCTTGAGTGTGTGTGGATTCTGTTCTTTCCTAAGAACAAATCCCAAATAAGAAAACATTGGTGAATGTCAGAGTCTTCAGTAAGGGGGTTTTTAGAAGACAATTCTTCTTAAGGATGTTGGTGAATGAAGCTCAATGTTCTGTCCAGATGCCAATAAGAGAACTAACAGTTTCACAGTTTGGACTAAAAATCTAAAATTAGACGCCATAAAAGACGACATATCATCCAAATGCCACATCCAGGTAAGAAAGATTGGTTGGATAAAATGAGGGTAACGTTACTCACTAGGAATTCCCATGCAATTGAGAAAAAAGGAAGGCTGTTTCAGGATCACGAATGACAATTAGTCTATTTACCAGCATTAGATTAAATACTGAATTATGGTTAGAATATAGCTGTCATGTAATGTTATTAGCTAGATAGCTAGCTATGTGTAATTAGCATGAAGTTTACTTTTCATTATGTTTTCATTTTCTAAATTAGATGAGAAAAATCCATGTCTGAAGAGTCATGTGTGAAAAACACTCTGTATAGCATAAATGCTGTTAGTGTTAGCTTCTTAGCTAGCTTATGTCATCTTATGTCAAACTCTCTACAAAGTAATAATTCTAAAAAGATCAATCAACACATCAACTTCCAATCCTAGTTTACATTCCAGTGCTCTTATTAGTGATGCAAGAATGCTTGGCAACTTAATCTGGGAGAATACAGGGTTCTAAACTGTTGTTGCTTCACTGGGTTTAATAATGTGACAGCTCCCGGGGGTGAGGGGGGGGGCACTGCCTCTCATAAATGTAGAAGCTCTGCTATGCAAATTTCCGTTTGAAGAGGCTCATGGGATATGTGTGCCCTTAGAAAAAAGGGACTGTTAGTGTTAGTTGTTGTGTGTTTATTTTGAGAAGTGTTCTGTGTTTACTATGTTTTTATGTGCTGGGAGGTGGGTTTAGGTGAGTGGGTTAAAGTTTTTGCCCTAGAGTGGAACTGCTTGGCTATAGGTGACCTTTCCAGCTATTCCGTTGGTAGTCAGTGTTTTTTTCTTCTGTGTTCAATAAAGAGCAAAGCTTTCAGTGGAAATTATGGCCTTGGCTGATTCTTTTTTAGGAGAGATCCTACTGCTGAAATGGAAGGTGGAACAATTCTGTGGCCAGCAACGAAAAAGAAGGCAAGCCGGCCTTCTTTTTCGAGGCAGACAGTGGAAAAGACAAGAGGAGTGGCAAAGCAGGCCAGCAAGAGAAGTGGTGAGGAAAATGGCAGAAGGGAAGACAGTGAGAGTTAAAAAAATAAAGACAAAGCAATGAGCAAACCAGCAAAAGTGACAGTGAAACCACCAAAAGAAGGAGTGGCAGAGTGGCCAACGGTATTCAGGTGGGGCGTGGCAGAACAGAGCCAGCACATATTCAGCTACCATGCTGTACCAGAGAAGGACCAAGGGAGCTGTATTCAGCACAGCGGATGAGGGTTGCTTCAGGTTTCAGCTGTGTGATTCATTCTGCTTTGCCCTGAATGGAAAAGCACTCCAAGCACTCATGATTTTGCTGGCAGAGCAGCATGGTGACCTTGCGGCACTGACTGTGGCTCTCCAGCAGCGGTTTGGACAGATGACAGCAGTGCTGTCTACCAGGAAGCTGTTGCTGGATAGACAGAGAAAAAAGGGAAAGCGAATAAGCAGCTGGTAGTGGAGTTCTTCTGCTGGTTCAGCATGTCAAAGGAGCTCCACAGTGACCAGGGCAGCAACTTCTTGTCAGTGCTCACTGCTGAGGTTTGCAGCTAGCTCCATCCTCTGAGTGACGGGCTTGTGGAACTGAATGCTCACAACTCAGCTGGCCATCGTCACCGACCAGCTCCAGCATGATTGGGACCGACATTTGCCCCTGATGCTGATGATGATATCATGAGCTCAGGAAATCCACAGAACTGGTCTTTGGGAGCTCGCAAAGGTTAGAGGAGGGTGGGATTCCCAGAGCAGGTTATGCCAAGAAGCTCCACCACCGTCTCTATGCTGTGCACCAGCTCATCAGGGGCCATCAGAGCAAGGCCAGCACATGCCAGAGACAGCCATATGACTTGCACTGTCAGGGGCAACCA